CCCTCACAGCCTATCAGGACGCATGGAACAGAATGTCTCTACGTGGCCTGGAAGCAAGAGGTGGCATCGCCCAATCGGGGCGTGATCATATGTCTGTGAACTGTGAGTCCTGCACGCTCCTGTTCTCTTAGCACGCCCCATGTGTATGTGGTGAGGGGGTACACAGCTGAGGGTGTTTGCCAAGGGTCGGGTAAAGGAGGAGTGTGGGGTGGGTGTATGCGTCAGGTGTGGGCTTTCTGAAGGGCTGGTGTATGTGAGGTGTGGGAGGTGTGTGGGGTGTGTGTGTGTGGGTGGGAGGTGCGTGTATGTGAGGTGTGTGGTGGGTGTGTGGGCTGTGGGAGGTGTGGGGTGGGGGTATGTGTGAGGTGTGGGAGGTGTGTGGGGTGGGGGTATGTGTGGGGTGTGTGGAGAGAGCCACTGCCTGGAGGGTACCCAGGGGCCCACCATACTGAGGAGCACAGCCTTGACTGTCCCTCCATCCTCAGCTTCCTGCCCTGTGATCTCTCTGACCTTTGAGAATGCCTTTCCCCCATTTCTCCACCTTCGAAGGGAAAGCGCTTTCCTGGAAAGCTGAGGGAGAAGCCTGGAAGGTGAGAGGCCCAGGGACGCAGGAGGGGAGAGGGGCCTCCCTGCCTGCTCCCCGCCCTCTGCGAGCCCCTCTCCCGGGTAACCTGGAAGCTGGCAGGCACTGAATAGGGGCCCTGGCTGCTGCAGACCATACCATTCCAACGTCCGATGGGGGAAGGTGAGAGCCATAGGGTGGAAGAGGCATTGAGACCTCCCCCTTGAGTGCCCCCAGCGCCCCCGCCCCCCAGAGGGCTCCAAGGAGACAGGCTGGAGTGCGCCCTGGGAAGGCCAGGAACAGGGCTCCCCTCTCCCTCTCCCAGCCCAGTTCCATCCCTACCCTCCTGGTGTCCCCTCCCCCAAGGCAGGGCCCAAACTCTTCTAGACAAAGCCAGGTCCAGCGGGAGTGAAGGGAGGCGCCCACTCTGCCCAGCCTGGCTGACTGAGGACAGGGCTCTGCAGAGCCCAGGGCGAGCTGGGGCCACAGGGGGCGCGGGTGCTCCTTGCGTCTCCTTGGGGTAGCTGAGAAGACCCTCCACCCGCTCTTGGGACTGCTGAGGGCTGGCTCTGAGGTCAGTGCCTGGGGGACCGCAGGAGGTCTGGGGAGGAAAGTGGGGGAGTGGGTAGGGTGTGCTCAGACTGGGAGGCCCTGGGCTTCTGTGGAGAGTGGAAGGCCTCATGGGGGCAGTGGCTAGTCCGAAGCCAAACAGCAACATGTGCTCCGAGGCCCTGCTCGATGGAGCTCCGAGGCAAGACAGAAGGTTCTGGACAAAGCTTCAGAGCTATGGCCAGAGCAGGGCCGCCGGGTGCCCTGCCCTCAGGGAGGTTCCGCGCCTTGGTCTGGTGGAGGCCTCCTTTCCCGGAACCAGCTGGCCTGGCTGCTCAGAGGCACCGAGGGGCCCGGCAGCTGGCCTGGCGTGTGCCCAGGGAGGGGGCTTGATGCTCTTGCTTCCAAGGGAATGACTCAGATGCTAATCACAGCCTCCTGGGTCTCGTTATTAGAGTGCTTCCCAAGGACTGAAGCCAGGACCTGCTTTGCTGGCCTCACAAGGTCTCCAGATCCACGTGAAGGCCTCGAAACAACAGTAGGATTAGCGGGATTGAGACTTCTCCCTGTCAGACTGCGCTTTTCTTCCTCCCAGCCAAGCAGAGCCCAAACTCTTCTAGACAAAGCCAGGTCTAGCGGGAGAGGGAAGGGAGGCGCCCACTCTCCCATTCTGCCCAGCCCGCCAGGGTGGAAGTGAGGGACAGCCAGGTTTTCTCCATGGGAGATGGTGGTGGGCACACGCCATCTGTCCTCCGCACTCAGATTCAGGGAAGGGACAACCCGTGGCCAGAGCACCCTCCAGGCGATGCCTGCAAGGCGAGGTCCTGCGCAGCTAGATGGGCATCAGAGTTTCCAGCTGGGAGCTGGGAGGGGTCCCGTTCTGCCTGGAAATGCTGGAAGGAGTGGTGGCAGGGAGTGGGTAGGAAGTGGGGTGGGGTGCACTGGATGCCCTTAGTCGGCCAGGCACAGAGCAAGGCTGTAGGCAGCAAAGAAGCTGGTCCTTTGGCTGCTGGTGAGTGCCCGGGTGGGGACGGGGGTGGGGGTCGGGAGGTGGGAACGGTGGCTCTCTCCACCTCCTACCGCCTGCTGACAGGGACCCTCTGCGGCTACCTTCAACGCCTCCTGCTGAGTGTAGGTGCAGGAACACGACTGTGAGTTAGACTAGGCTGCAAGTTGGGGAAAGAAGGGAAATCCGCTACCCCCAGGCTCACCGAAGTCTCCAAGAGCAAAGAGAAATAAGTGGTTATTATTGGACCATCCTTGGGGTTTCCGGTCCTGTGTTTGTGGAAGTCAAAGATCACAAAGGCTGGCTCCAAAGCGGGATGTTGCCCACTTGTGTGTTTTGTTTGGCCTGCTGTAGTGTTTTAAATATTTGAAAATGCATTCCGAAGTGTTTGGAATCGCGTTTGTTTAGCCCCCACTCCTCTCTCTCAATCTCACGTTAACCGAATTTGAATTAGTTGCCAGCATTTAAACCCCGGGAAAGTTTGCCTAATAATCCAGATTTCTGGCTTCTCTTGGGGAACTGGAAGGGCCGACTGCACTGGGCCTGCCTCTGGCCCAGGCACCTGCCCCTCCTAGAGAGGCTCACCTGCCCCTGTCCCCTGGTCACACGCTATCCACCAGCCTGGCTCTGCAGGCAGCTGTCTGTGGACCATCTGCCATGCTCCCTCTAGTGTCATCCTATGTAATAAGAGGTGACTGGTGTTTGTGGGTTTTGAGCCCCACCCTGTCAACTCCGTTGTTCTCTGTGGGTTCTTTTCCACCTGTTCTCAGAGCAGCTCAGTGAGCCCTGGGAGAGGGTTGGGAGCCAGAGGACTGGCAAGGCCCTGGGGCCAGTAGTCAGGAAACCTGGTTCTGGCCTTTCCTTGGTCACTGGCTCACAGTGTGTCCTTGGGCCTGGCCTACCCTTAGTGGGCCTCAGTTCCTCACTCGTCATGGGAGAGCCTGGGCTGTCTCGGGAAGCACCATGGGGCCAGGCAGGTGGCATCAGGCGTGCAGTGGGCCTGGGGGAGTGTGGCGAGCTGGGGCCAGTGCCTTATCTAACGGAGGCAGCTGCTGCTCAGCCCCAGCCCCTGCGTGCCAGGCACAATTGGCTCATGTTGCCAGTGTTGAAATTTGGAAATTTCAAAAGATAGATGATGTTCAGATATTTATGTGAAATCTCATTTTTTGTTTGTTTGCGGTTTTTAATCACAATTTAAATTTGTAAAAATACTGCAAGAGCCAAACGAAACACACTGGTGGGCCCCTCGTTTGCAGCCCTGGCATCAGATAATTGCTAGGCTCTTTGCACCCCACACTCCAGGACTCACTTCTGCTCACAGAGCAAGTTATTGAGGAGTTGGTCTTAGATTCCAGGTTTTCAGGTCTAAGACTCTATTGTGATTCATGAGAATTGATTTTAAAAGTCCTGGCACCTCCATTGCCGGTGGGCAGGGAGACAGCAGGAAGAGGACCTGAGTTCAGGCCCAGCTCCATCGTTTTCCCGCCGTGTGACCTTAGCCTGTCGCCTCTGTGGGCCTCACTGTTTAGCAGCGCCCAGCCCCCGCCCATGTTCCCCTCCCCAGGCCTGGGTCCAGCCTCTGAGCTTCTGTCCCATTCCTGTTGCAGGAGCCATGAGCACAGAGGGCCCCAGTCCCCTCACAACTGGCACTCCGGGGAGCCCTGTGGAGGCAGCGGCCCCCCTGCCCGTGCTCATTGCCTTGGCCTGCATCTTCCTCCTGCTGGCCTCCTGTCTGCTGTTCATGACCCTCTGCAAGCCGGCTGCACTGGACCCCAGCCGCCAGGCTCGAGAGCGCATGCCCCACCACCCCGGGAGCCCCAGCGAGCCCCAGCTCCGGCTCTGGACGCGCCTGGGCTCCCTGCGCCGCTCCCTGCACAGCTTCCGGCGTGGCCGGCCCGCACCGCCACGCTCCCTGCCGGACCACGATAACAGCCATGGCTGGGACTGCACGGAATCTACCAAGGTATGACAGGCTGCCCGCCGCCACCCAGGATCTAGCCTCGGACCCTCCTCCCTCGGATACAGCCTGGCACCACAGGCTGCAGGAAGACAGCGGCCCCGACACCCTGCGTGCCTAGGCCCAAGGCCTTTCTCAGGAAGCCCTGGGAGAACACCTTCCTCTCTGCAGACCCTCCCGCCGCTGCCTGCTGAGACTGCTGGCTGGTGTGGGAAGCGGCAGCCTGGACCCTGGGCCGAGGCTCTGGAGACAACAACTGGACCCCAGGGTTCCTCTCTGGCAACCAGGCACCAATCGCCTCCAGGGAGCAGGGCCTGATTCCCAGCAGAAGGCATGCCCTCCCTCCACTGCCAAACCCAGCTCAGATTTCAGTGCAAATTGCCAAATGGCTAATGGTTCCCTCCAGCCAAGTCTAAACTGTTGACAAGGTCCTGTTCTGCCCTGGGGCCCACTCAGGGCCCAAGGCAGAGGGGAACCCAGAGACTCCTCTCACCTTTCCTGGGCCCTGTCAGCATTGCCCAGCAATCCCTAGCAATCCCTGGGAGCAGCTGCACCCTGTGGTAGACCAGATGCCTGGGTGCCTGCTGGGAGGGGGGGGGGGGCAAGTGAGGCTCCCAATACTGACCAGCCAATTGCGACCCTGGCTGCTCCCCTTCAATGCACCCATGTAGTGGGATGGACCAGGAAGGGGCCGAGAATGGGTTAACCCAGTGGTTCTCAACCTGCGGGTCGCAACCCCTTTGGTAGTCAAATGACCCTTTCACAGGGGTCGCCTAAGACCATCCTGCATATCAGATATTTACATTACGATTCATAACAGTAGCAACATTACAGTTATGAAGTAGCAACGAAAATAATTTTAGGGTTGGGTCATAACATGAGGAACTGTATTTAAAGGGCCAGAAGGTTGAGAACCACTGGGTTAACCCTTCCTGCAGAAGCCAGGCCGGTGCTGTGTCAGAGTGGCAGGAGGCACTGCCAGCCACTGAAGGTGATGCCACCTGGGCTCTGTGGACACAGCATAGTGGCTCCACGCCTCACCCAGGAAAGGCGGCGGGAGGGTCCAGACTTCTCCAGGACAGCTATGGGACTTACAGCCTGGACCACACCGGGGTTCTATCTTTTGGGTGATGGCTTCATTGACTGGCTACCTGTCTAAGCAATCCCACGGAGGGCGGGCTTCTCAGAATCCCTAACTCTCCCTTCTCCTCCCAAAGCCAGGGCTCTGTGCTGTGGATGGCTCCCACACTTGGAGAATGGGAAGAGGGGGATCTGAGGGGCCGGCCAGGGTCATCTCATGCTTGGCCATGGGGCTACCCGCCTCCACCCCGCTATGACCCACAATGCAGCTGGCCAGGTCTTCTCAATGAGTGAGCTCTGGTCCCACTCCTCCCAGCTCCCAAACCATCACTGCTCCCTAGTGCTGGCTGCACAAAGCCACGCACCTCTGCCTGGGAGCTTACAGAGGGCGAGACTGCGCCCAGCCCCTCACTGGGCTCCACCCGCTAGGGCACAGAAGTATGAGGCTGGTTACTGAGTGAAGGGAGGGCCCATCTGGGTACATCCACCTGCCCCAAAGCCTAAGGAGTCCTGTCTTCCCTCAGACGCCCCAGGGAGCAGCTCCCTCTGCAAGCAGGCCCAGTGGAGAGGCCCATGCCCCTTCCTCCAGGTCGGGATGACGTCCCAGAGTCCTGCTTGGATGGGAACTTCCGGGAGAAGCCGGTGCCTGCGTCTCGCCCCGAGGAAGGGGGAGAACTGGGCTGCCCACATGCCTGGCAGGTCTCGGACTGGTCTGCGGAGTGTTATGTAATAGAAACCGATCCTTTGGGTTTAGAAAGTGGGGCAGGCCCCCTCCCAACAGGCTGTTACCCCTCCCCCTCTACCCCCGGGGCCTCCCTGAGACATCCCAGGACGAATTCCTCCTACAGTCAGTCCCCCATGCCACCCCCTGGCCAGGTGCCCTGCTTGGCACTACGAGTTCTCTTCCTGGAGACCCAGGGTGGGGGGTGAGGCTGCCCTGAGGCCTGAGGGAGAAGGAAAGGCCTGGCCATACCCCAGGGTGGGAGGTTTTCGGCCAGCGGGGAGGGGCTCTCCAAGACCCCAGGAGCAGATCCAGAGGGAGAGAACCTCCCTCCTCCTCCGGGAACCAGCCAGGCCCTTGTAAATCCCCGTGGTTTTCTGGACTCTTGGTGCCTCTGGGCGTCAGCACCCTGCTCCCAGCGCTTTCCTGCCTCCTCCTAGTCCCGAGGCAGGGTGTTGGGCGCAACCCCAGCCTCCCAAGCCCAGAGCCTGCTGCAGTGGACAGGCCCAGTTTTGTTGTGTTTGGCTCAGCCTCCAGGCTGGAAACGCTTGCAGCGGATGAGAAGGGTAATTCATTCCGGCTTCCCCGGCCCTTCGGCCCCCCGGCCCCCCCCAAACCCAGCGCAGAGGCCTCTGGGTCTTGGAAGGCCCCGGCCCCAACTTCCAGGCCCTCTTCTCCTTCTGCGTCAGCCCCTTTCTTTCTTGTGCCTGGGTTGCTTCCCAGAGAGAGGTTTCGGCCAAGGGCCCATAAGGCCACTCTGTTCTGGGCA